ATTTTGAAATGAAAATGGGTGGTAGCTGCCAAAGTGGCATATTCATTATTATTTATTCGATTTTCTCTGCGACAATATATATAAATATATCTTGCCCAAGGTGTTATTATATGTGATGCTTTTGGAAAATGGCATAAGGCAGTTAACGAGCTTATTTTGGTCTAGAAATTTGCTTCTGTCCAAAGGTGTTGGTGTTTCGAAAATCAATGTAATTTTGTTAACTAGCCACATGACGTGTTTTAAGAGTATTTTATAGCATGTTGTATTGTCGGCCCAAATGTGACTTTATAATGATGCATCTAGGCTCTTACCATAATAAAATTCATATGTTTCGATTTAAATTACGAATTATCTAATTAATAGCCCATATTAATTAGTTGGATATTTCATCATCCATTTGATTGCATGCATTACGTTTGGATGATATTAAGCGTGATATTTTATGTTTCCACAGTTTATAACGCCTCATTTCTTTCAAATCAATTGTCTGCTATTGAAACCTTGATTGGGAATAACTATGTGAGATGAAAATGACACGTAGAAATAGCATTTGGTCTTTTAGGCTTGAATTTTGCAATTAAGAAAATTCTTGAGAAACCTACATATAAGAGTACCATTGAATATGCAGCCGAGTATGAAAAATGGGAAGGGGCTAACAAACTCTATTTGAAAATCATTAAGTGATCGATATCTGATTCCATTCTAGGTGCCATCCTCGATAATGAAAATGCCAAAAGTTTTATGGATGCCATAGGAGAAAAATTTATAGAGTCTAATAAAACCGAAATTGGGGATCTGATGGATAAATTGATGAGCATGAAATATGATAATACAAGTAGTGTCATAGATCACGTTATAAATATATCATCTGAGCTAAAGGCTCCTAAAATTCCTTTGGCCTTAGTTTGTTTTGAGTCTTTTTTTATAGATGTGTCTTTGAAATCCTGGTGTTTGGACTCTGGAGCTAGTATTCACATTGCAAATTCCTTACTGGGGTTCACAAGTAAACGAAGGCCAAGTGAGAATGAAGTGAGCTTGAGTCTTGGAAATGGAGTTCAATTGTACGTTGAGTTTATAGGAGTAGTGAAGTTGACTTTAGAATTTGGTTCCTCTCTTGTTTTGGAAAATACAGTTTATGTATCGCAAATGAGACGAAATTTAATTTCTATATCGAAATTTGATGCTTGTGGTTTTACATTTAATTTTGATAATGGAATGGTTGAGTTATTTAATGATTCTCATTTGATTGGAAATGACATTTTATGTGATGGTTAATATTAATTATCTTTGGCTCCTTTTGGTGATATTTCATGTGTTACCAATGTATAAAAGAAAAGGACTTTAATTCGTGAATCATCCTCTATGTTTTGACATAAACATTTGGGTCATATTTCTAAGGATAGAATGGAAAGATTGGTAAGAACTTAGATAATTTCCCCTCTAGACTTCTCTGACTTTGACACTTGTGAGGATTGTATAAGAGGAAAATTAACAAAGTCCATAAGGAAAGGTTCAACTAGGAGTAATGATATTTTGGATATGATATATACTGATATTAGTGAACCTTTGCCTTCTATCATATGTGGGAACAAATATTTTATAACATTTATTGATGTTTTCTCACGATATGGATATGTTTACTTGATTAACGATAAATCACATGCACTTGAAAGATTCAGAGTTTTCAAATTGGAAGTAGAGAAATAATGTGGAAAAAGTATTGAAGTTGTAAGGTCTGACCGTAGTGGTAAGTACTATGGGAAATATGATGATTCTGGTCAAAATATGAGTGATTTTGCAAAGTTTTTACAAAAATGTGGAATAGTGCCCCAATACACCATGCCAGGGACACCTGAGCATAATGATATTTTTGAAAGACATAATCGAATCCTAAAAGATATGGTTAGAAATATGATGAGTAGAGCAAATTTACTTGAATATTTGTGGGGTGACGCTTTGAAAACTGCTATGTATATTTTGAACAAAGTTTCAAAGTAAAGATGTTGCAAAGACACCTTTTGAATTACGGACAAGACGTAAGCCAAGTTTGGCTCACTTTAAAGTTTTGGGATGTCCAACTGAGATTAAGATTTATAATCTATTTGAAAAGAAATTAGACTCTAAATCAACTCGTGGCTACTTTATTGGGTATCTGAATAGATCAAAGGGATATAAGTTTTACTGTCCAAATCGTGGTACTAGAATTGTGGAGTCCATTACTGCTAAGTTTTTGGAGAACAATTTGGAGATAGTAGGAGTTCCACGTTGAGAGAAATTCTTGTTGAACCTAATCAAGTTGTTATTCCAGTTCCTGTTATACAGGAAAGAGTTAGTTCTCAACCAATTGAAGTTGTCAATGAAGAACAGAGGAACCAGGAGGAACCTCCAATTCCTCAAACAACAATTGAATCGATTTCTGCCATGAAAGATGAAATGAATTCCATGAAAAGGAATAAAGTTTGGGATCTTGTTGAACTTCCTCCAGAAGCTAAGGCTATAGATAACAAGTGGATTTTCAAAAGTAAATTAGATTCAAAAGGAAATGTTGAATGAAAGAAAGTAATATTGGTTGCAAAAGGTTTCACTCAACGAGAGGGCATTGATTATGTTGAAACATTCTCCCCAGTTTCATCAAAAGATTCTTTTCAAAATATCATGACTTTTGTGGCACACTATAATTTGGAGCTTCATCAAATGGATGTTAAGACATCATTTTTGAATGAAGATCTTTCTGAAATGATTTATATGAAACAACCTGAAGGTTTTATTGTGAAAGAAAAAGAAAACTTGGTATGTAAGTTAAACAAATCCTTATATGATCTTAAACAAGTATTTTGACAATGGTATTTGAAGTTTGATGAGGTTGTGACCTCTCTTGGTTTTGTTGAAAATGCTATTGACCAATGCATTTATCTCAAAACCAGTGGGAGAAATTTTATTTTCTTGTACTGTATGTTGATGACATTCTGCTTGCTAGCAGTAACTTAGGGTTGCTTCATGAGATAAAGGAAACGTTGTCTGCTAATTTTGAGATGAAAGATCTTGGAGAAGTTTCCTATGTACTTGGCATTGAAATACATCGTGATAGAAATCGTGGCTTATTAGGACTCTCTCAGAAAGCTTATATACGACGTGTTTTAGAAAGGTTTAATATGTAGAATCGTGCACCTGGTGATGTACCTATCATAAAAGGAGATAAGTTTAACAAAACTCAATGTCCAAGGAATGAGCTGAAAAAGGAGTCTATGAAGATAATCCTATATGCTAGTGCTGTGGAGAGCTTAATGTATGCTCAAATCTGCACTAGACCGGATATAGCCTACGCAGTAAGTATCCTTAGCAGATTTCAGTCTAATCCAGGACAAGAGCATTGGAAAGCAGCTAAGAAAGTTATGAGATATTTGAAGAAAACTGAACGCTATATGCTTACATTCCAGTGTACAAATAATCTTGAGGTGGTAGGATATTCAGATTCTGATTTTCCTGGATGTCAAGATGATTTGAAATCAACCTCAGGTTATATTTTTACATTAGCTGGTGGTGCCATTTCTTGGAAAAGCGCTAAACAGACTCTAGTGGCATCTTCTACTATGTAAGCTGAATTTGTGGCATGTTATGGGGCTACAATCCAAGCCGTTTGGTTAAGAAATTTCATCTCTGGCTGGAAAGTTGTTGATTCTATCTCAAGACGATCACAATCTACTGTGATAACAGTGCAACAATATTCTTTTCAAAGAATAATAAAAGTTTTGGTGGATCAAAACATATTGACATCAAATGTTTGGTTGTTAGAGACAGAGTCAAAGAAGGGCAGACGAAAATAGAGCATATCAATACAGATGCAATGATTGTAGACCCCTTGACTAAGGAACTTGCTCCAAAAGTCTTTAAGACATATGTTGTTCATATGGGCACTATGGAAACATTTGATATTTTTGGTTAGTGGGAGTTATTTATGTAAAGAACTACGTTTTTAGCTTGATCCCTTTGCGGGATACGTAGGCAACCCATACGTTTTCGGGTACAGCCCATTCTGACAATAAAATAACATATTTTTCTCCTATCCATTGACTATTTTGAGCATGCATTTGACTTGTGTCTTTTTATTATAATATTATTGTGATATGACATGTAAAGACATACGATGAGTCTCTTTTGAAGACACGTGGCTTCATTTTGATCAGAAGCATTATGAGGACCGATATGAATTAGCACAGTTTTTTATGTAATTTGGTGCTAAGTTCATGCCACATACTACCGTATTGGTTGGAGGATGGGGATCCATATCGATAAGGATGTTAACATTTGTAGCTGTGGAATGATCTTAAATCGTTTAATTGGTGTAATGACTTCCATGTTCGGTGTTAATATTCTTGTTGGACTGGATCATGTTACGTAAGGTGACATCATTGGAATCATACTTTTGTGGCTACCTATGTAGTCTAACCCGAATGTTAAAACTTTGTTATAGCAATTAAATGTTTGCCCAAGTGGGAGAATGTTGGAATAATTCCATATGTAGGCTTCACATTCGATTGCAAATTTTACGGGATAGATGTATGGCTTATAATGATATTTGTGATTGGGCCAAATTTTTTAAGTGATCAATTGGACATTTTACACCTTACGGGTTGTAATTAATATGATCTGGTAATTTTAAGTATATGGGCCGAAAATAATAATTAGAATTCTAGTCGTAATGGGACGGCCCAAATTATTTCCTATATATAAAGGTTAGGTCCCCTCTCCTCTCCATATGTTTTATTGACTTGCCCCATTGATAACTAATACTTTGTGAGGAGCAAAGAGGGGAAGATCTTGGCTGCTATTACAACTATTATTCATACCAACAATGGCTTCCACAGATATGAATTAGTTTTATTAATTTAATTTTGGTGATTCTTGATTCTTAGCATGATTAAATTAGATTTCAACATAAGTGTGGACAAATACATTTTGTCCTCGAGTAATTTTCCTCAAATGTAAAAACAAAATTTGACTTAAATTTTCCGTGATACATTCACGGAATTTACAGTGAGGAAAAGATAGAACATAACACAAATAAAGGACAACATAACAGATAACATAATTCTGCTGCAATATTTGGTAAAATGGTCACAAATCCCAATCCAACCAGTGTGGTTGTTCCCATATTTCCCCAAGTACCCTATCGCAATTGCTGCTGTGCATCCCGACATCAACAACATTGTCAAAATTGTTGGTCGGACAATTTCAAATCCTTATTAGTATGAGTAAAAATTTTGTTTATTTTTCTTGTGTCTGTATCGTATTAGGTATGCTATAATTATAAATGGCGTACCAAGTCGTGCAGAAAGGCGAAGAAGTAATTTCTTGAATCCACAGCTTTGTAACCAAGGATGGAAATAATAAACAAAGATAGAACTGAAAATGCACAAGCAATAATATTTGCAAGTGCAAAGAACCAACATCCAACAACAAAAATCACAAGTCAAAAAAATTATGCATGATTATACAAAAATATACCCACACGATTAATGTAAATTAATCTCTTTATTTTACAAGTTTTTGTGTAAGGTTGTTGGTGATAGAAATTAAAGTTGCATTGAATAATAGATCTTACTTGAAACTCGACGAATAGCTATAACGTGCATCGACGATGATCCTGAAGACCACAACTGTTTGCTTGCTGGTGAGTGTAAGCCGTGTAGTAGCCAATGTACCTGCAATGGCCAAACAACCGTGCTGCTTGTATAGAAGGGGCTTTACACCCTTCTTGACAGGGTAGACACAAGATGGGGTGGGGGCCTCAATTTTTTGCATTTTTTATTCATGTGGGGTCTCGAGTCCCACGCGAATGTGAGAATCTGTCACCCAGCATGTCAAGCATTTTCTAATCAATCGCGCTATGTGTACCAAGTCGGTTGACAAATACTGTTCATAAATTGACGTGGCAGCCTTTAAATTAAAAAAAAATGAAAAAACAAAGAAACATTGAAACAAAAAATTCAATAACTTTCTCTCTCTCCCTATTTCCCCATCCTCTCTCTCCCCTATTTCTCCCAAATCAATTCTAGAACCAACCCTTTTCTTTCAACCTATTTCTCTTCCGTTCGAACCGTTTCCTCTCGAAGGGCTAACCTCCGGCACGATCTCTATCTTCAGTAGCAGCTGAACTCCAGCACTGTGATTTCGCCTCGGTTCGCATATTTGTCGAAGGGGACGTTGTGGCGAAGACTGTCGGATACCACAACAAAATCGATCGATAGTATGAGGTTTTTGTTCGGTCTGAGGTTTGGAACCAACCCTTCCCTTTCAATCCATTTCCACTACAGCTAACTTGTTCGATCTGAGGTTTCTATGAAATGTTTTTTTCGCTAATGACATTTCTGCGATTGCATCTATTTTGAAAGTTAAACCTTGCGATTCAAATCCCACATTTTTTAAAAAAAATTATGTGCTGAGCGAATAGACTCATGTGTTGATTGTGTAGATTGATTTTTTGTTGTTATTAATTTGAGATTTCTAAATTTTGTTGCTAAAGAAATTGACTTTAACATTTGTAAAGTTAGTAAATTTACCTCTTGCTAGGAACCATGAGCTTCTTTTTGAGACGTAATAGAATGGCTATGGGATTCATTTATTATCCATCTTTGTTTTACAAATCTGAAATTTGGTGTTGGAATCAAATCTGTTGCTCTAAAAGCCTATATCTTGGAATAAATTTTAGCTGGATGCATATGAAGAAGAGGTGGTTAATAAGCTAAATTTCCATTCTATGGTTTTTTGTTTGGCAAAGAAGTTAAAAATTTGATTTTGCTTTGTTTGTTGGTGATTTGATATGAGATGCTAACGTTTCCATATTTTATGTTTGGCATTTGGTAGATGGAACACAAAATGCTAGAAAAGAACTCCAGAGTTATCCACGGCTGCAAAAGTGTTGGACACTTCTTCCATGATTGCCTGATAAAATATTGATGCCCACATTGTATGCATGGATTTCAAAAAAATTTCGAGGTTGAAAGGGACACTGTTAACAAAGGCAAATTCTTCAAATGTTGCAGTGTGCAGTGTAGGTTTTGGGAATGATGCAAAGATGGAGAAGCAATTGGTGAATCTAGTAATGCCAACGCTACTTTGGCTAAATAAGCGATCCACGAAGCAGTTGACAATATGTTACGAATGTTCCAATCTCAAGTCCAGCTAAATAACAAAGAAGAGCTCTTGATTATTGTGAATGTGAACGTGACGGTCCATTGAGAAAAATCGCATGTCGAAGGGAAAATGAATGGGATAGATATGGCTTGATTAGTGATTTACGGTGAAATGTCTCTTTTGTGTTAAGTAGAGGTGTGTTGTATATTTCATTAATTAGTTTAGTGCGATCGGTGGATTTTGGTTGAACCAATAGTGGCTATGTCATGTACCTTGTGCCTTGCTAGAAAATTTTCAGATGGTGGCGGATTTAGGTTGAACTAGTAGTTTATTGTTGCAATGCACATTTGATGTTGGTGGGTTTCATACCCCATGTTGACGTCGAAATTTGCAAGGCTAATTTTGAACCAACTTCAAGAAAAATGGCGATTTATTGCTAAATCAGATCAAGAAATATATAGAGAAAATGTGATCGGATTATGATTTTTTTGTCTGTCTCCCCCTTTTACAAAACTTCTATTCCATTATTTAAACATGGCTTTAGCTAAAATTACATCAAATCAGTTAAATCAGCTACAGTGTCGAACTCGAAACTCGGGTCGTCGAATTCTCCTGTGATTGTTCGACGAGGCCAGTGGTCATGTGTCAATGTTTTCTCCAGGTAATGATGACCTACAAGGGACTTTAGATTCCGAGCTTTGGATTGGTGGTTTTGGGCGGTGGTGATGTCACTCCTGACAAGTGTATTGATTTGAGAGGTTGGTGCAACAAGGGGTAATCATGATGTTTTCAGAGGTTATGGCGAGTTAAATTCGAGCTGTGAAAAATTCGAACTCACACCTGATAGACATGAGGCCCAGGAAAAATATCATGAGATCGGAGTTCGGTGGTCAACAGCTATCCCCCATATCAGTTCTACCGTAAGGGGGGACTGACCTCCTCAACCGGTTCTTTTTCCAAGGAATGTAATTATTGTAGTGCCAAGTATCACTGTTTTAGCAGGGATGAGTTGTACAACACTTATGATTGCTTCCTTCGGAAGCTTTTCGGCTACAAGGCTTTTGGGCTATTGATTTTTCCCTCTCTTTTTCGATAGGCGGCCTAGATGTAAAACCTTTGGCCTTCTTCCCCCTTTTTAATTTCCCATTTGCTTTTTCATTTAACCATTTCATGCTGTGAATTTTCTCTCTACGGCAGTGGGCGAATTTATAGATACGTCTTTCTACCTTCGCTTAGTAAGGTCACCTTTCAAGTTCCCAAGTATTCTTCGCTTTCCTCCCTTCGTCATTTATGTTTGCATTTTCTTATGAGTTCGGATGAGTCTAGGGTACGTTCCTGGGAAAACCATCAGGAAGAGTCCGACCCTCCGTCCTCTAGTTTGTTCTCTGCCTATAGGGAAATTTTTACTCCTATTCCTATCTCAGTTGCTAACCCGGTTACCATAGCTCGTCCTAGGGAAATGGAGCAGGAAAGGAAAGCTTGGGAGTTGAAGAGGTAGGGTCTCACAGGGGTAGTGAGAGAAATGACTTAGAAGAGTAGAGAGCCAGTTCTTTCAAGTCGATTGTAACGAGGGATATGTTAGCGAGTTGGCATGGCAAGTATGGTGTGCCTAGCTCGGTGATAATGATTATTCCCGAACCTTCCCATCCCTAGGGTTATCCGCAAATTCCTTTCCTTCTGGGGTATAGCTTCGACCCAGCTATGCCTCAATGGGTTGCAAACTTTGATTGCCACCTTGATTTTATGGGACCAGTTAGGGAATCCCGAGTTTCATGTCGAGCAATTCAACTCCTTATTTACTTTCAAAGAGGATGGGGGAGCTCTAGCTGGTGGTATACTAGTGTCAGGCCGAGGACTGGCGGTTCCCTAGTGCTGGACACTCCTTCCTCAATTAAGAAGTGGAAAGAGGAATTCTTCTATGTGTCGAGGGATTGGGAGTTCCACCCTATCGAGGTGGATAGGGAGGATGTTCCAAAATTCTTCCATGCCTTATGTAAGCAACACTTACTCTGATACTTAAGTCCGAGCTGATATTAAAGTGATGCTAACTACCTGTGCTTTTGCTTTGCAGATTATAAGAAGGCCACCTTGACCAAGGATACGCAGAGGCATGCTGAGGCTATGAGGGCTCTTCCCAAAAGGCAGAGGTCGTGCAAATACGTAATTTTCGACTCGAATTTATTCAAGGTGGGCTTGATCTAGACAATTGCTTTAGGCCAGACCTCAGCGTGCCCATTAGCATCAACTCTAGCTTGCCCACGTAAAAGCATCACACTGCTTTCCTAAGCTCGTGTGATTTTCAACACTGCTATCAACTTATATATATGTTGTTGTTGTTTTTTTTTTTAGTCTGCGGTCCGGAAATGTTAGGATACAAGGTAGCCAAGGAGGCAGCTGTAGTAGCAACGAAGGGAAAAAGGCCTGAGGCCTTAGTTTGGATAGAGAATCGATCTGAAGAAACTAAGGAAGAGGTCCTGCCTTTGAAGATGACCCGATCTGGTACTTTGGCTACACCTTCCATCACGGAATATGCTCCCCCTGCCCCGTCGAGTTCTGCCTAGGAAGCCTCTCCTTCTCTACCATCTCCCACTTCGGAGGCTATCCCCACTCTACTGTCGTCGAACCTCGAGGTGCCGATCTCTACTAATCCTTCCATTACAGTTGAAAGCTCTTTCCAATCTCAGGAGAGATGTCCCAACCTGCAGAGACCGAGTTTGGATGGGTAACTGGGTCGTCGGCCTGAGATAATGTTGGATTTTTTGCGCGCTCCCTCTCCTTCCAGGGAGAAAGGCTGCCCTGACTCCTCCATTGCACGACTCTGCTAATCTCCTAACTAGGAGCCGAAATGAGAGAGAGCAGGGTTTTTTGACTAAGATGTCGCTTGGGGAGGCGATCGTCACTATTTAGCTCCATAGCCACCGATCCATTTTGTATACGATGGTCGTGGCTAACAAAGTACCTATATCCGGGCTCTCATACTTTAAATTTTACTGGTTTATGAAATGTCTCTGGTCCTACTGACTTTTTTGATTTTTACTTAGCTAAAAGTCGAGCTTGAAAAAATGATGGAAGCCAAGGACCAAGCGCTGAACCTCTACCAAGGCATGGAGAGAGAGAGGGAGCTCAGTTTGTTGCTCGGAAAAAGGAGTATGTGGGTAAATTGAACAGGATGGGAAAAGAGCTTAACTCCAAACTGGACGTGGAGGATAAGCTACAGGAAGAGATCAAGGTTCTGAAGACTTGGGGTGAAAAAGTCGGCCAGCAGGCTGAGGAGGAGAAGAAGAAGGCGGAGGAGGAGAGAGCTCAAGTAGAGGAGTTGCGAGCTGTGGTGGCCGTGGAGCGTTCTCATATAAAGAAGGCTATGGAAAAAGTAGAGGAGGCCAATATGAGGACCAGGGAGGCAATGAAGAGGGTGGAAGAGGTAGAGGCTAAGGCCATCAAGGCTATGGAGATTTGGAGGGAATCTCCAGAGCTTGATGCCTTAGCCTAAGATGCCTATGTAATGGCCTTGGAGGAGCTGATAAAACATATCCGGAGAGAAAGGCCGGACTTTGATGCCACTCTCTTGGATGAGGCATTGGGGGAGCAGAGAGAGGAGCTATGGAGATTATATGTTGTTGCGGGAGTTTGGATACCCCCAGCTAACCAAGATGTTAAGGGCAGCACTC